CCCATGGTACATGCAGGGGAGGGAGTGATGATAAATGCACCTCACGATGGAGGCAGGAGCCAGATCATGAAGGGCCACAGAAAGCAGCTAAGGAATTTATGCCAATGGTTGTGGGACTCTGCTTATATAAGAATTGACATCACCAGATTTTTATTTTATAGGAATAACTCCCAGCTATGTAGAGAATGGAACAGAGGAGATAAGACTAGAGGCTGGGGCCCAGATATCTATATTTGTTTGAGAGCAAGTGACCAAAAATAATATTTTGTGTCCAGGCACAGTGGCTCACACCTGTAATCTCAGCACTTTAGGAGGCCAAGGCCAGATCACCTGAGGTCAGGAGTTTAAGAGCAGCCTGGCCAACATGGTGAAACCCCGTCTCTACTGAAAATACAAAAATTAGCCAGGTATGGTGGCACACACCTGTAATCCCAGTTACTCGGGAGGCTGAGGAAGGGAGCATCTCTTGAACCAGGAGGCAGAGGTTGCAGTGAGCCAAGATTGCACCACTACACCCCAGCCTGGGCAGCAGAGCAAGACTCCTCTCAAAAAATATACGTAAATATGTTTTCTGGGAAACAGAGACCACCATGTGAATGACATTTGCTTGCTGTTTTGTATGCAGTTCCACCTTTAGCCTTTTTTTAAATTCCTTTCCTACACATAGATATCTTTATTAATCCCATGATGTCTCCTGATTGGAGGGTTTCTTGTGTGGTTGACATTTTGTTGTCACGCAACTTGAATTTAAATTCAGTCCTCTAGCTAGGCTTTCATTCTGGGCTTGGTAAACTGCCATGTGCCTTTAGACCTTTCCATAAAAAATAATTTATGAACTTTTGAGCAAGATTGGTGTTCCCAAAGCTAAAGCCAGACCCTTGAGACTTAGCTAGCCTTAATCTAAAAAGATATAAGTAAAAGGACGGTTATCCCAAATTGGAAGAAAAATATTGCCCTTGCCTTTACTGTGTACTTCCATATTTAAATTCAGACTGACTCATATTTTCTAGATCTGTCTACTTGACTCCCTAGCTAGAGCTCCCAGGGGGATGTCTTTTGCCTGGAGACTTATTCAGGTCTCCAGCAACTATTCCATACGCCCATCTCACCCTCCTCCTCATTCGGGAAGATTTAATGTGAAAATGTAGCATAAACAGGGTCTTAAATCTTGTCCTAAGAATTTGATAATGACAATACCAAAAGGCCATCTTGGGTCTTGGTGTCCTGCATTAAACAAACAGACTCAAAATTTATAATAACACTACAAACACTCTATAGGTCATAGGCGTCTTGAGTCACATCATATAAAATAAAGCATTTTTAGATATTCTTAAGGAAAGGTCAGCAGGACCAAAATTATCCTTCCTTTTATGGTTAAGTTTATACTGAGGAGAATTTTTTTTTTAATAATCTGGAATTTGCATTTGCATTTTCCATTTGTGACCAAAAAAACACAAAACCATGAAGGGACTGAGGCTGACTTTCAGGCCTTCTCCCATTGGTTCCTGTTGGGCCCAGCAAGTCCCTGTGCAAAGCTATGAGAAGGCAAAGGTGATTTCTGAGACCTGTTTGGCAATGGATATATCCCCTCCATGGTGACGAAACATTGCAAGTTATGGGGTGTATTTCATGACAGCAGGTTAGCCACAAAGGGTGCTCATGCCTCAGAAATGGTATACATAGACAAAGACCCTAAACAGATTTACAGAAGCTCCTGCCAGCACCTCCAACAGCTACTGCCCTTGTAACCCCACTGGATATTTGGCCACTTTGGACCCTACGAGTGTGATAATCTTTCTCAAACGCTGACATACATCTAGGAAGGAGCCAGGTGGTCCACCTGGCCTAGTAAGGTGACTCTTTGAAGTTGATCTCTACTTTGACACCAGATAGGGTCCAAAAGAAGATCCATACCAAGGCAACCTGAAACAATGGGAATAAATATGACTATGTTTCTTTCTTTTTATTATTATTTTTTTTCAGACAGAGTTTCACTCTTGTTGCCCAGGCTTGAGTGCAATAGCACCATCTCAGCTCACTGCAACCTCTGCCTCCCGGGTTCAAGCAGTTCTCCTGCCTCAGCCTCCCAAGTAGCTGGGATTACAGGTGGCTGCCACCATGCCTGGCTAATTGTATTTTTAGTAGAGATGGGGTTTTTCCATGTTGACCAAGCTAGTCTCAATCTCCTGACCTCAAGTGATCCACCCACTTTGGCCTCCCAAAGTGCTAGGATTACAGAGGTGAGACACCGCGCCTGGGGCCAACTATGTTTCATTTTTATTGAAAACAACAAACAACAACTTGGGAATTAAACATAGTCAACACAGATTTAAATAGAAGGAAATGTTAAGGAGCCATATTCCAAGCTAGAATCAGATGCCCTTTCCTACTTTTCAAGTTTTGAGTGTTTGGTGAAGGATGCCATGATTTGAAAAAGGCAAAACAGGCTCGGGATGAGACCCCCATCTAGAAAGGGTCATCTCTAAAACTGCCTGATTATCTGGTGGGAATGCTATCTCCTCACTAAAAGCCTGTGGTTAGATTAATGCTAGCATCTGAAAATCTGCTAAGGCCTGATGGTGGGCAGCCAAGGAAGGAATGTGTTTTCTGTTTAGCTCTTTAGTGTCAGAAATGTTCATCACAGAAAGACTGTGAACTCCCAGTTTCGGGCATGCCTGGAAGTTGTGTAGTCTATAGTCTGTATAAACTGTAAAAAACGGAATGTGCACACCAGATTCTGAACAAGAAAAAAGAACCAAGCCTTTGTTTTCGGCCAGTTGCCTGGTTGGTCGAAGGGTTAATCAGTTTCTTTGACTTGATAACAGGGATAGATCTGAAAGAAGGTTTTACCACCCCCACTGCTCTATCTCCCTGGAATGCAGCTTGAGTTGTGTCTCCTCCTTGATAGCTTGGACCTCAGCAAATTACCAAGGTCTTGACCCAAGAGATGGAAAAGTCCTAAGTGATTTTTCAGTCTCCTATCTAAAAATGTGTTTACATTTCTTGAACTCTGGCTGACTGATTCATTCTCCTGGTGTTGCAAGAACTTTCCTTATGCATTAGAATTTATAAGTTTCATTTCTAAGAGGCCCATGGTTCCTTCCAAGCCACAGTGAAGTGAACCTCATCACAACACAATTCTGCTGGGCTGGATTTGTCCTGCGGGTGGATCATGGCCAAGCAGCTGTGATGTGGCAAGCTCAGTGAGACTAATGGGAGGCGGTGTGACGTGGAGCAGAAAGTGCAAGACACTAAGTCAGGACATCTGGGTTCTGCGCCCTGGTCTTGTGTTATTTCAAGGTGTGGCCATCAGCCAATTGAATGAAAACACTTTCAGGGCCTCAGTTTCCCCCAAGCTGATTTAAATTTTAAAAAAAAAATTTTTTTTTTTTTTTGAGACACAGTCTCACTCTATCACCTAAGGCTGGAGAGCAGTGGTGCAATCTTGGCTCAATACAACCTCTACCTCCCTGGTTCAAGTGATTCTTGTGCCTCAGCCTCCTGAGTAACTGGGATTAAAGGCATGCACCACCATACCATCCTAAGAAATGTTCTAAATCTGTGCAAAAGTCATTTTCAAAGACAGAAGAAGATAGCTGAGAAACAACAGAAATGGGAAGGTCAAGCCCACAAATAATGAGTAGAGTCTTAAGGTCAAAAAGACAAAGAGACAGAGTCGTATACAGCCATTGGCTCCTAAAAGAGCTACTTACGAGCACCTAGTATGGAAAGAACTTTTTGCTGGACACCGGTCCCACAGAAGAGTGGCAGAAATGTTTATCACAGAACTGTGAACTCCCAGTTTCAAGCGTGCCTGGAGTTGTGCAGAAGAGACTAAAATCCTTGTCAATAGAGCCATGTGCTTAACTAAATCTGTTCCTCAGGTAAACATACCTTTAGAATATTAAACTTACTTTATTTTTTGAGATGGAGTCCCGCTCTGTCACCCACGCTGAAGTGCAGTGGCACGACCTCGGCTCACTGCAACCTCTCCCAGGTTCAAGCATTCTCCTGCCTCGGCCTCCTGTGTAGCTGTGACTACAGGCATGCACCACACACATCCCACTAATTTTGGTATTATTAGTAGAGATGGGATTTCACCATGTTGGCCAGGCTAGTCTCAAACTCCTGGCCTCAAGTGATCTGCCTACATCTGCCTTCCAACGTGCTGGGATTACCGGCATGAGCCACCACGCCTGACCAAATTTACTTTCTTAAAGGAAAAAAAGAAAAGCAAAATAAAACCTATCCTTTTGCACTATGGAGTTTTAGAGTAGGGCAGTCTTAGAGGGAAATCCTCACTCAAAAACCTCACTAATGGTACAACCTTGAGTGGGTTACTGTGCCTTCTGAGCCTCAGCTGCCACACCTCTAGAGAACAGTGGTAACAACAGCCACGGAGGGGAGACATGGGCATCACACCGCAGCCCCGTGCTGGTGTCCGCTGCTTCCCGGCAGGCTCCACGGTTTCCGTGGCTTCTGTTAGTCTACTCCCTCCAGCCCCACTTTGACCTTTGCCTTTGTTTGATTCATGCTTCCACCTCTCCTCTTGCCCGGCCACGTTATAAGAGAAAAGGAAAGTCTCTGATCTATTTGGAAGTTTGCAGAAGCATGTTCCTACTTCAGTGAAGTGCAGTCATACAAAATTTATACTCAACAGCATCAGCAGATTTTTTTCCATCAATATTTCCTTTTTAATTTCAGCTTTATCTGAATTTTAATAGCATAAAAAATTCACTTTTGTTCTTTTAAAGAGCAACCAAAACAAGAATAATATCTATTTGAATATAAGGTCTTAAAGCTATATTTAACATGGTGTTTAGACTATGCCTATAGAGGTTACAGGTGTTATTTGGTGAGTAAATTATGAATGCCATGGCTGTATATGTGCTTATAATCTTACACACATATGAACTAGGTGTGTGTATGGTATATATAAAAAGTCATGAGATCCAGATCTGACCACCTTGATCTTTGTTCCTCTTTGATTTTCACGACAGCAGACACTGAAACTAGAGCCGATCTTCACATGAATCTTTATGAAGCCTCACCGTTGACCCAAACAACAGAGAAGCAGGTACAGTATTGACTCTGAATGAGGATGGCATTGGGAGTCACAACTCTTGGGTTCTTGTCTCAGCTTGCTGTGTGGCCCTAGGTGAGACTCTTTAGCTCTCTGGTCCTCATTTGCCTAATCAGTAAAATGAGACAAGTAGACTCTGAAATCACAGGGGCTCCTTTACTCCTTGGAAAGTCTTAACTTGGACCGTATCATTTAGCTCTTTATTTGTGTGTGAATAAGCTGAATAGGCCTTTCCCTGACTTCTGCAAAGTCAAAAAGGGAATAAGGGAACATAAAAAGGTGGCATTCAATGAGGCAGTAGGCACTAATTTTCATTCGTAATACAGATAAAAATTAGCAATTAAGAAAAAAAAAGTGGCCGGGCGCGGTGGCTCAAGCCTGTAATCCCAGCACTTTGGGAGGCCGAGGCGGGTGGATCACGAGGTCAAGAGATCGAGACCATCCTGGTCAACACGGTGAAACCCTGTCTCTATTAAAAATACAAAAAATTAGCTGGGCATGGTGGCGCATGCCTGTAATCCCAGCTACTCAGGAGGCTGAGGCAGGAGAATTGCCTGAACCCAGGAGGCGGAGGTTGCGGTGAGCCGAGATCGCGCCATTGCACTCCAGCCTGGGTAACAAGAGCGAAACTCCGTCCCAAAAAAAAAAAAAAAGAAAAAAGAAAAAAAGAAAAAAAAAGTGCAAGGGTAATCATAAAGAAAGGAGGATGGTGCTTCATCTGGATACATTAAGAATTTCTATTAGCAGGACGGTCACAGTGGCTCACGCCTGTAATCCCAACTCTTTGGGAGGCTGAGGTGGGTAGATAACCTGACGTCAGCAGGTAGAGACCAGCCTGACCAACATGGTGAAACCCCATCTCCACTGAAAATACAAAAACAAATTAGCCAGGCGTGGTGGCACGCACCTGTAATCCCAGCTACTTAGGAGGCTAAGGCAGGAGAATTGCTTGAGCCTGGGAGGCGGAGGTTGCAGTGAGCTGAGATCACACCCCTGCACTCCGGCCTAGGCAACAAAGCGAGACTCCATCTCAAAAAAAAGAAAAAATTTCTATTAGCAGGCAGGTCGAGGTGGCTCACACTCACATCAGCTCAGGCCTGTAATCCCAGCACTATGGGAGGCTGAGGCAGGCAGATCACCTGAGGTCAGGAGTTCAAGACCAGCCTGTACAACATGGTAAAACCCTATCTCTACTAAAAATACAAAAATTAACCGGGGATGGTGGCAGGTACCTGTGCTCCCAGCTACTTGGGAGGCTAAGGCAAGAAAATTGTTTGAACCCAGAAGGTGGAGGTTGCAGTGAGCTTAGATCATGCTGTGGCACTCCAATCTGAGTGACAAAGCGAGACCCCGTCTCAAAAAAAAAAAAAAAAGAATATCTATTAGTGGTTCAAGGACATATGTTCACAAATATTTATAAGTTTGCTCCTTCCATGGAAGCTTTGAAGCTGGAACTGTCTTCAAATTCTCTCTAGAGAGGCAACTCAGGGGAATTCCTAGCGCCTCAGAAAATCTGACGCAGAGGCAGCACACGCAGCTCCAGGGGCCTCGCAGGTCTCACCCTGCTGACACCTCCGGGCTGTGATCTTGATTTCTCCATTCTCTACACCTTCCTTCCTGCCATGGCCTGGATTTCCCTTCTTCCCCAGCACTCACTATATATAATGATAATAGAAATATGTTTGCGGCCAGGCACAGTGGCTCACACCTGTAATCCCAGCACTTTGGGAGGCTGAGGCAGGTGGATCGCGAGGTCAGGAGTTTGAGACCAGCCTGGCCAATATGGTGAAATCCCGTCTTTACTGAAAATACAAAAATTAGCTAGGCATGGTGGTAGGCACCTGTAATCCCAGCTACTCAGGAGGCTGAGGCAGAACTGCTTGAACCCAGGAAGCAGAGGTTACAATGAGCCAAGATTGCGCCACTGTACTCTAGCCTGGGTGACAGAGCAAGACTCTGTCTCAAAAAAAAAAAAAAGAAAGAAAGAAAAGAAATGGAGAAACATGTTTGCTTTCATCTGCATGCCTGAGCTGGGCTCTGAGGTGGGACTTGAACTCTCTGTGACAACCCCAGGCCTGGGTCAGGCCTCCGCTGAGGTGAAACACAGCTGAGCAGCTCCTCCCAGCTTCCAAGCAGCTGCAAAATCAACATTTGCATTTTTTAAATGCCCACTTTGCAGACATCCCATATAAGGGATCTAGAAACAGAGTTTTTTAAAGAGTCTGTGACTAAGGAAAACATGATATAGTATATTTTGATAATTCTGCAACCCCAAAGACCATGCAAAGGCCTCACCTACCCCAAACACACTCCAAATTCACACAGCCCCACAGTTCTGTTCCATAAGACCCACTATCACCTGCAATGAAAGAGGGGCTCAGCCAGGCACAGTGGCTCACACCTGTAATCCCAGCACTTTGGGAGGTTGAGATAGGCAGCTCACGAGGTCAGGAGTTCAAGACCAGCTTGGCCAACATGGTGAAACCCCATCTCTACTAAAAATACAAAAATTAGCTGGGCGTGGTGGCAGATGCATCTGTAATAGCAGCTACTTGGGGGGCTGAGGCAGGAGAATGGCCTGAACCCGGGAGGTGGAGGTTGTGGTGAGCCAAGATCATACCACTGCACTCCAGCCTGGGCAACAGAGCAAGACTCTATCTAAAAAAAAAAAAAGAGGGGCTCAACATGTCAAATTAAATCCTAGGCTGAAATATTAACTTTGCAGTCGGAAAAAGGAACACCAGAGCAAGGAGTTTTAAACTCTTATCCCCTGCAAGGCTGTGGAAAGTCAGCTGGCTGAGAAGCCCTTGCGCCTGCCTCTGGTGGGTGGCTCCCACCGGAACCCGTTGGTTTGTCCAAGATGCAGTAGTCCCAATTCCTTTACAAGCAACCCTGAAAAGAAAGGGCATCTGAGGAGAAGTCTAGGGACCCCACCAGCCCCAAACACAGAGAAAACAGGGTGGGAGGGAGGTGGGAGTGACTTCCTGGCCCCCTGCACCCCGGCTCACTTCTCAAGGCTAATGGCCTCTTACTAGATTAATCACTGACTTCAGTTTTAACTACTTCCTCGGCCTACTCCAAGGCAATGACTAATTTCATGTTTATTATAAAGCATCTGAAACACATTTAGGAACAAATTTCTGCCCAGCCGACTTCAGTTCCCTACCTTGATGGGCCACTGGCAATCCAGGGGATTCCTTCCCCTGTGGCCTTTCCCACCCTGAAGCAGAGGACACCACAATACTGATCCTAGCAGCCGTTCCTTTCCATCAGTTCCCCCACTGACTCCCCACTCCTTCCCTTCCTCGGTATCAGACCCGATTAGGGGTTCAGTCACATGAAAGACTTGTACTTTTATCCCAGCGCTAGCTGAGAGAGGGGAAGACATGCCAAAGGTGGATATTCTGGTATTACCACCCTCTAATAAGAAGTTGCAGACCTAGATTTGGAAAACAATCTCTGGCGTGTGGGTTGGGGAGAAAGCCACGCCGTGCTCTGCAGAGGCTGGGGTGATGGTTTCCTGAGCTGGAGGCTTCTCCGGAGGCCCTACCGCGGCGATGGGAGAGCCGTCACCTTGTCTCCTCGGAGGCTGTTCGCGCTGCAGTGGGAGCAGAAAGGGTTAGGCTCCTTCCTCCAACACGCGATGAGGATGGCAAATGGTGGGAACGGCTCCCAAGGCACCCCTTCCACACCTGACCCGAGGAGCGGGGCCTCAGCGGTGAATCCATCAAAAGAAACGAGAGTAGCAACTGACATCAGCAACTTCCTAGGAGTTGAAAGAGGGGGTGAGTGGGTGGGGGGAGGGGGGAAGAAAACTACAAGGGGAAATGTGGAGATGAAAAGAGAGCAATGAAAAAAGAAAAAGGAGACAAGCAGACATGTTTCAACTCCAAACTCCCATTTCCTCTTTCAAATGAACTGCTTCCCCACTGTGAACAGAATCAAGTATTTATGAAGGCATTTTTTGCATATTAATAACTGCATATGGAGCATCGCCAGTGCTGAAGTCCTAAAGGTACGGTGCCCTTTTTTAATGCAGGTCTTTCAAACTCCTCACAGAATTTGGTATTCTCCTTCAGATTTATTTTCATTTCTGCCTCGTGGCTCCTCCTAAGGCCCTTCATTTGATTAAGGGAAATTAGTTTCTGGGATACCTTCAGAGACTGAGTATTGCTCTTACCTCGGTGGGCCACTGACATCAATCGCGGGAGAAGCTTTTCCTCTCCCCCAAGGCCTCTCTGTGTAGGGGCCGCAGGTTGGGTAAGGTGACCAGCACCTAAAAAGAGTATTAAAATTATAAACGAAAATTTCAGGAGGAAATATTAACATAGCTAGACAGTGGTAGGAGAAAGTAAAACTGAAAAAAAAAGTAAAATAATTTCATTAACTTTAACATTACTATCTACACTCAGTAAAGATTACCTGCAATTTTGAAAGAAAAACATTGAGAACCATAATGAGAAAAATAAGCAAAAGATAGAAACAATTCATATACATAAAGGAGTAACAGAAAATAAATGCGAAAAAATTATTCATCTTGATTAGCAATTTAAATGCATATTGAGGCAAACTGTAAGTACCATCTTATATCTGAGATCTGTACCTCCTCTTACTCTTTTTAAATGGTAACACCCAGGGCTGCCAGGGTTTTGGTAAAACTAATATATGCTTCTGGTGAATCACAGTCTTGGTTCAATTGCTTTGTAAAGCAAAATGGCAATATAACTCATGAAACATGAAAAACATAAAATATCCATTGATTATGTATTTCTGACTCCTGGGAATTTATCCTAAGGAAATAATTCAATGGAAAAAAAAAAAAAGTCAGTGAAGATGTCCTTTGCAGCATTATCTATAATAGAGAAAAACTACCACTTTGGGAGGCCAGGGTGGGTGGATCACTAGGTCAGGAGTTCGAGACCAGCCTGGCCAACATGGTGAAACCCTGCCTCTACTAAAAATACAAAAACTAGCCAGGTATGGTGGCAGCCGTA